GGGCGTATGTACGGCGCTGTATGTACTGACTTCCTGAACATTTAGAAGTCATAGAATATGTTCAACTCGAGACATATAAAACATTTTCCAAATGGAGAAAAACCATAATACTGGGTAACTGTGGACTATTTTAGTTTTCCTTTAGATTAAACGATTCTTTCGTTATCAGCCTGGAACCCATAACTTCTCAGTCAACAACCTGCCCGAAGTTTACTACGGTCCGTGTCTATATACACGGCGCTGTATGTACTGAGTTCCTGAACATTTAGAAGTCATAGAATATGTTCAACTCGAGACAGATAAACCATTTTTCAAACGGAGAAAGACCATAATACCCGGGTAACTGTGGACTATTTTTACGCGACAATCTATTTATTTAGCATGTCCATGTTAGGAAAACACGGGGAATGCCCGCTTCTGTTGTTATGGCGTAATAAATGGAACACGTCCTTGCTTATTTGACATCAGATTTGTGTCGCTTGCTTGTAATTAGTGAATAAAAATTAAGGAGGCTGAACTCCCCATTCTAGTTTTAATCTTGTACTTTTCTCGGTGCATACCAGGGATTCCCTTAATAACGGGTCGGGGACGGAAATATCTGGCACGAGTTCGCGAGTTTATTTGTTTACTTGTCCTAACGAGTGACTTGGGGACTCATTAATTCGGTTCTTCAAGATACTGTATAAGTTTAAAGCATTAACTTGATGTATTTCATGATGCTTACACGATATTTTGTACAGACTGCCTTCACAAACTGGACCAAAGGGTTTCAAACATGTGATTCTTTACTTAAATAGTGTTTCAAACGCCTTGACTGGCCTTGGCCAAACTATCAATGTGTCGCGATATTCGGCGCTTTCACTTGTAAAATGGATAATTAGCAACATAAGAGTGGCACGCGAGAGGGAGTGGAGGGGGTGTTCACACCTTTTGTTCGTTGATTAGTACTGAATGATAGATAATAATCACATCATACAATAAGGTAATATGCCTGTATTGTTTACAATACACATTCGCGCGCTTGCCCCACAAATGATTAGCCCATTCAATGGAGAAGACCTACAAGTACACTTACCTTTTACATATTCTGTCAACTCACATGATTCCCGGTCTTGTGTAATCACGAATCACATTAATTTCACATTTATTTCACATGTCAAAAATGTGATTTGATGTCACATTTTTTTCACATTTTGCGTTTTCGTGAACATCACATAAATTTCACATTTCGCGGACTGCCAGATGTCTTCACATCTTTTTCACATTTTGTAGTCAAACCCATTTCACATAACTTTCACATAAAGACACATTTTTTAAAATGTGACTCAGGTTAACATTGTTTCACATTTTCACTGAGAGTACGTTTCACATAAAAATCACATAGACATCGGCGGAAAAAGAACATACAGGCAGTCACATAATTTCACATAATGGGAGGAGATCCAACATCACATTTAGATAACATCTTTTCACATTTGAAAATGTGATTTTTCTGGACCGTTCACTGCAAATGTGAAAAAAATGTGACGCAAAATAATAACATTTTTTCACATAAAGGTGTCGCGCTTCAGAAATGTTATTTTATATGATTTTCTGTGAACTTATGTGATAAAATGTGATGCTGTTGAACCTCAAAAAAATTCACATTACATCACATTTTTTCACATTTCCTTGAAATTTCGCACGAAATTCACATAATTTTCACATTTATGCACCTGGTAGTGTACATACACACAAAAGCACACGCACACGAACAAACAGACGAATGTATGAGCGTGCGCTCGCTCACGGACACAAAGACACCTAAAGACACACACACTCACAGGTACACGCACACACACACAAGCTCACACGCACACACACACATATGCAAACAAACGACACACACACATACACACAGGTACAGAACTTGTCCGTGTATGGAAGTCTTACTTAAGTTGATGGAGCCTTTTCTGGCATTTGATTAAAGGGCAATCGCTGGACGACTGTATTACTATAATGTTTGTTGGCGATAACAATACTGATTCTGGTTTAAAGTTAAAACCTTTGACCCAACACAAAGAAGTTCTCTAACCCTGAGCTCAATAGTAGACGTCAACTTGCAAACTTGTCAAGGCATCTACTTCAAGGAAGCCACGTGGGCCGGTCTACTGAGGACGACCAGAGTTACTAGTCGAAAGCTCTAGGTGAGAAAACGTCTTTGTGGATCAAAGGATTTTTAACTCTAAACATGAAACTACCAACACAGTTGAACTTTCATGATAATACTGATTCAGTCATTCCTGTCCCCACAGGGTAGTCGGACCTAAGACCAGACCACCAACTAATGGAAACAAAAACTACTGATTGGACTAGTGTGTTCCTAATGTAATTATCAATGAGGCCCATTGTAACCAGATACTGTATTGGACTCAAAATGATCGACAAGAAAAAAAAGACACCTAATCTGTGTGTTTTTGTTTGTATGGTTATGTTTTTTGTGTGTGTTTGTTTTGTGTGTTTGTGAAAGTGTTTCCTATTTTTTAAAAGAAAGTATTCGCCTCTTAGGCGTTTTCTTGTTAAAAATTACTCATCATCTTCTACAAGATTATTCGTCGGTTGACCTTTTTTTAAAATTTGTAAGTGTTCTCACATCAATTTCTAAGATGCAGTTTTATATTAAATATTCTCACCTTAAATTTTAAGAATTTACACGAATTTTAGAAATCTTTTCCCTATACCAATATGGGTGTTTTGCGTAACATCTAACATTTGTAACACCAAGTATTCTAGGACTAAGGAGGGTAATGCTTCCTCTGTTTGACGTGAACTTTGATGCAATGTAATGTGTATTTGATACATCACCGCTTTGTATACACTCGTGTATATTAAACATCTTATTCTTTCAATCGTTTTATTACATCTTTTTAATAAATGAAAGAGAAAAAAATGTGCTATACAGACTGTTTTTTCTAGGTGACATTAAATACTGTTTCTGATAGGTATTTGTGATATCACAATGCACTCTAACACATCCCCATATCATTTTATACCGATATTGCTAAAATCGAACCAACAGTCAAGACATACAAGAATTACTTAATTGGGAGGCTTCTCTTACACTTATGTAACCAAACCTTTATGAATCATAGTCCACCTTCATATTTGCCAAAAAGATGAACCGTCCCAATTCCTAAAAAAGAGGACTTAACATCTGCTTCTAATTACAGAGGAATTAGGCTTACCCCCATCGCAGCAAAGGTGTATAATAAGCTTTTACCCCTGTATTAGACCCTATACTTAGGAAGAACCAAAATGGATTTAGAAAAGGGAGGTCTACAATTGTACAGATTCTTGCAATACGTCGTATAATTGAAGAAATGAAGATATGTAATAGGGATTTTGTATTACTGGTTTTCGATTTCCGTAAGGCATTTGATTCCATTGATAGACATGTAATGTTTTATATTCTAGTACAGTATGGTATTCAACAATGTTTCATCAAAGCAGTTAGGGTTCTGTATAGAAATACTACAGCCTCGGTGATCACTCCCGATGGTGGGACTAGTTCATTCGAGATAGTTACTGGAGTTCTTCAGGGCGATACAATAGCATGTTCTTGATTATCTACTAAGACGCAAACTAGACATCAAACCACGAAATCAAACCACGCAGGAGTCGAAGGCACCCTACCCAGCATCTTAATGACTTGGATTTTGCAGATGACATTGCTTTAGTTGCTGAACTAGTATTAAAAAATGCAGAAACTTTGCTCCGAGAACTGGAGAAATCTGTATCACTAGTGGGCTATATTGCAGTGAATCTAAGACAGAATACATAACTAATGTAACTGGATCACTAGAACTCCGATCATTGTCTTGGGCACTTATCCAGAGAGTTGAAAATTATAGATATCTTTGCTCCCACATTATGTGCTCAAGGAAATATTTTGAAATAAGCAAAGACCTGGCACGGGAAGCAAGCAATAAATTGGATAAAATCTGGAAATCAAATATGTCTCGCAAATTGAAGGTCCAAGTTTTTCTTACTATTGTAGAACTTAATATAAAATTAAGTTTAAAATTTCAGGCAATTATCACGATGGAGTGTTCTGGTCATTGTTGCCTGTCAATCTCTCTCATACAAGTACTGTCAACCTACTCTGCACGGACGACTTTACACTTTACCCAAAACTTAGCCACCCAAAGCAATCATTCTGTACCCAGCAGTGAATACAACACTTCTGTGGCTTCAGAAGACATACATGTATTGCAGTCAATATGTTTATAAAACCACAAAACATTTGCAATGTATATTGCTTTGAATTTCCTTGAGTTTAAAATATGGGTACGCGCGTGTACATACATATAACAAAGTAGTAAAACAATAAATATGTTAAAATCCGTGGTTTGTAAATAATGTTCATATCTCTGGTATGCAAAAAATAAATAGCACGTTCGTATGTATACATGTATGTAACTTTACCATTCCAAACGTACATTTTCTTTTATATTTTATAAGGACACATTGATGTTACACAGACCTTGGTCTGCCCTAACACACACAAGTGGTCAGTCAATTCTAAGATGTGAGAAAACGATACACTCCATGATATTCTAGACACATACATGTACAAGTCGTTTTTACAGTAAAATTCTTTAAACATGAATTTTGTGCGTTTTGAGAATGACCCTTGACAAATCATAACAATTCGCCAATGCTGGCGTCAGGCGATAATTGAACCTAGGTTAAAAATAGAATAAATAAATAATACTCTTGTTCTGTGGTCAGAAGACTTAAGGAAACCACATGTATACGAATAGAATGGTATGTATACGACTTCAATGATGTTCCAGTGATGACGGGTGCAGGTACACATACGGAAACTACAAGAATACTAGTACACAGTAATAATGAAGGTTTACAAGCGTAGATCACATTCCTTTTGTGTTCTATGCAGCTTAATCTTTATCAGTATAGCATAGAGCTGAGTCTGTAGCCCCTCTTGACCCTGTGTGTTAAAAGTGCCAGTGGGAAAGAAGGTCTGGATGCAGCTGGCTCGTCTCGGACAGTGTCCCCTCCCTCAGTTACAGGAAACTTGTTGACCTGCATGTTCATCTTAGAGTGGTTCTTCCCATGGCAATACGAAGCGGCCACGTTGCTTGTTGACGCCTTGCTTAACATGTCCGTTATCTGACACCTCTGCCATACCTTCTGTTGTACAGGGTTGAAATGTTCTGAATTCTCCAGTAGAATTTCTAGACCTCGGGGCCCATCTCCTTTTACCAAGTCTGGTGCACACCAAAACTGCTGTGGTGCTCTTTTCTCGATCAGGATTTCCAGTCCACGAGGTTGATCAATTGCTGTAAAGTCCAGGAGGCTCATACTCGGCTCTTCCAACTCTGGGTAACTGGAAGGCTCGTCTAGTTTCCACCATGAGGATGGTGCTTCAGTAGGTTGTGCTTTCATGTCTCCACCACCGACTTCAGTAGTCATCGGCTCCAATGATGCCCTGAACCTGATGGATGGTCTCTGCTTTAGTTTTCGCTGATTAAGCTTGTAATCTTTTGCATGTGGCGAACATGCCTGTGTTGGGGTTGAAACTGACTTTCGAGCAAGGACAGCATTCCTTAGTCGATGATCCACTGTATTCTTTAAACGTGTCTCAGGATCAGAAGGTGAGTCTAGTGTGAGGGAGAAGAGACTTGCCCGTTGCTTCGGCGCATAAATCAAGATGGTGATGGCATTGCGTTGAACCACAACCATCATTGAAACAGGAGTTGACCAGTAAAGGCGTTGGGTCAATGGTAGCCTCTGGATTACTTGAAAGCTCTAGTGCAGCCTTTACGGATAATGTCTCTATGTTTGCATCACCCAAAAGACGCCTGAATTTCAAAGAGCCATAAGAAGTAGCAGGTCTCTTTTCCTCAGCCTTTTCGTACTCTACATCATCTTTGATAGGACGCCCGCTCAGGAGCAGGATAGGTACGTCTGTATCCCTCTTTGTCTCAGCCTCATCGTGCTCGACATCATCATCGAGGGGACGTCCGTTGAGGAGCAGGATCGGTACGTCAGTTTCCCTCTTTGTCTCAACCTCTTCCTGCTGCACAACATCTTTGAGGGGACGTCCGTTCAGGAGCAGGATCGGTACGTCAGTTTCCGTCTTTGTCTCAGCCTCATCGTGCTCGACCTTATCATCAAGGGGACGCCCGTTCAGGAGCAGGATCGGTACGTCAGTTTCCCTCTTTCTCTGAGCCTCATCGTGCTCGACATCATCATCAAGGGGACGCCCGTTCAGGAGCAGGATCGGTACGTCAGTTTTCCTCTTTGTCTCAACCTCTTCCTGCTGCACAACATCTTCGAGGGGACGCCCGTTAAGGAGCAGCATCGGTACGTCAGCAACCCTCTTTGTCTCAGCCTCATCGTGCTCGACATCATCATCGAGGGGACGTTTGTTAAGGAGCAGCATCGGTACGTCAGTTTCCCTCTTTGTCTCAACCTCTTCCTGCTGCACAACATCTTCAAGAGGACGTCCGTTCAAGAGCAGCATCGGTACGTCAGTTTCCCTCTTTGTCTCAGCCTCATCGTGCTCGACATCATCATCAAGGGAACGCCCGTTGAGGAGCAGGATCGGTACGTCAGTTTCCCTCTTTGTCTCAACCTCTTCCTGCTGCACAACATCTTTGAGGGGACGTCCGTTCAGGAGCAGGATCGGTACGTCAGTTTCCGTCTTTGTCTCAGCATCATTTTCCTCGACATCATCATCGAGGGGACGTCCGTTCAGGAGCAGGATCGGTACGTCTGTATCCCTCTTTGTCTCAGCCTCATCGTGCTTGACATTATCATCGGAGGGGACGTCCGTTCACGAGCAGGATCGGTACGTCCAGTTTCCCCTCTTTCGTCTCAGACTGTTCGTGCTCGACATCATGATCAAGGGGACGTCCGTTCAGGAGCAGGATCGGTACGTCAGTTTCCCTCTTTGTCTCAGCCTCATCGTGCTCGACATCATCATCGAGGGGACGTCCGTTCAGGAGCAGCATCGGTACGTCAGTTTCCCTCTTTGTCTCAGCCTCATCGTGCTCGACATCATCATCGAGGGGACGTCCGTTCAGGAGCAGGATCGGTACGTCAGTTTCCCTCTTTGTCTCAGCCTCATCGTGCTTGACATCATCATCGAGGGGACGCCCGTTCAGGAGCAGCATCGGTACGTCAGGTTCCCTCTTTGTCTCAGCCTCATCGTGCTCGACATCATCATCGAGGGGACGTCCGTTCAGGAGCAGGATCGGTACGTCAGTTTCCTTCTTTGTCTCAGCCTCATCG